GTCACTAAGCTGTGTGCTACTCTTTTCAACCCCAAGGACTGTAGTCCACTAGGCTCCACTGTCCATGGAATTCTCCAAGCGAGAACACTGCAGTGGGTTGCCATTTCCTTCTCTAGGGATCTCCCCGACCCTGGGATCGAATCTGGGTCTCCTGCACTGAAGGCTGACTCTTTACTGTCTGAGCCAGCAAGGAAGCCCAACAAAGACTGATCTCCTCCCCAGATGATTAACTACAGTTAGCTTCCTTTTTCTCCCTTTAAAAGTTTTCATGGTTGAGCAGAATCTTGGGAATTGGATACAAGTCTGCCTTCTCCCCAGGTTGCCAGTCTCCTGAATAAAGCAACCTTTCCTTTCCAGCCAACACTTGTCTGAGTGCTTGGTCCCTTACTGAGAAAGGGAAATTCATTTAACAGCTGTGAGTTATTTGTAAGCTTGGTTTGAGGATACCAAACAATCCATAATTTGCAAGTTCCAGAATTAATGAGATTATCTTACTGCCCATTCTAGGAACATAATTTCCAAGCAGACAGTAACAACAAAGGTTTTTAAGGTGCCATTAATAAGTTTCAGATTATTGCATAATTTCAGCTGATGTTTATATGAAATAATGCACTAGTAAACCAAAGTCTAAAGATGACTTCAAATAACTTTTATCCCTTTTCCCCCAGTTTTAATGTAATTTCTAAAAGAAAAATACTTCACTAAATAGGATAAACTGCTCATTTCAAAGTGATTTAATCCTTAGATATACTCGAGTGTGTGTACTCAGTTGTGTCTGATTCTTTATGGCCCCACGGACTGTAGTTAGCCAGGCTCCTCTGTCCATGGAATTTTCCAGGCAAGAATACTGGAGTGGGTGCTGCTGCTGCTGTTACTGCTAAGTTGCTTCAGTCGTGTCCGACTCTGTGCGACCCCATAGACAGCAGCACACCAGGCTCCGCTGTCCCTGGGATTCTCCAGGGAAGAACACGAGTGGGTTGCCCTTTCCTTCTCCAGTGCATGAAAGTGAGAAGTGAAAGTGAAGTCACTCAGTTGTGTCCGACTCTTCGTGACCCCATGGACTGCAGCCCACCAGGCTCCTCTGTCCATGGGATTTTCCAGGCAGGAGTACTGGAGTGGCGTGCCATTCCCTAATCCAGGGGATCTTCCTGACCCGGGGAGCTAACCCTCATCTCTCTCTTACACCTCCTGCAGGAGGTGGGTTCTTTACCATGAATGCCACCTGGAAAGCCCTCCTTAGCACTAGTGTAAGCCCTTTAGAGATGATTCATTTGGAAAAATCTATGTTCAGTAATCTAAAGAAGAAAACATTAATTTAGTGAAATTTACCTTTTAGAAGTACATTCTGAAAGCTATATTAAGATGGAATGATTTGTGAGTTACTGTATGGATATTTACATACTCCATTAATATAGCCAATATACTAATTAATATATGAATCTATTCAACGAATCCTAGGGAACCTACTGTGGGCTATGCTCCCCAGAGTAAAGAAGATGAGTAATGTGCCTTTTGGCCTTCTAGGAATATTCAGGAAAGAGAAGTGATTGATAGGAATGAAAATGCCTACCACAGAAGGAGGCAAAAGGCAAGGATTGTACAACAAAGTACCAGAATAAAAGAGATTAAGATGAAAATAATTTCGGGTAATTTTTAAAGATCTCCTTTAGTAAGTGACTGAGATGACCCCAGAGAGTGGGTTTGATTACTATGGAAGGAGACACTCCAGGTATTAACAACAACTTTATAACAAATGTGTGCTGCTTGGAAGTGATTCACTAGAAGAGTCCTCATAAATAGTCTGAAACTTAAATACTTCCCTGGGTGCCTCAGATTGTAAAGAATCTGCCTGCGATGGGGGAGACCCAGCTTCCATCCCTGGGGCTGCCCAGTTGGCTTCCTTCATCCAGGTAGTATAGTGGTAAAGAACCTGCCTGCCAATGCAGGAGACATAAGAGAGGTGGGTTAGATCCCTGGGTTGGGAAGATGCCGTGGGGGAGTGCAAGGTAACCCACTCCCAGAATTCTTGCCTGGAGAATCCCATGGACAGAGGAGCCTGGCGGTCTATAGTCCATGGCGTTGCAAAGAGTCAGATATGACTGAGGGATTAACACGTCACATTTTCTTTCTCATTTCATAAAGTATAATGTGAAGTGAAGTGTCAATTGCTGGAGTGGGTTGCTGTTTCCTTCTGCAGGGGATCTTTCTAACCCGGGATGGAACCGGGTCTCCCATATTGCAGGCAAATTCTTTGCCACCTGTGCCACCAGGGTGCATGCTAAAGTATAATGTGGTGCATAAAAATTCAACTTCCAAATATTTTATATAGTACCTTCAATTATGGGCTTTCCTGGTGTCTCAGTGGTAAAGAACCCTGCGATGTAGGAGACATGGGTTCAATCCCTGGATCGGGAAGATCCTCTGAAGAAGGAAATGGCAACCCACTCCAGTCTTCTTGCCTGGGAAATACCATGGACAGATGGGCCTGGCAGGCTACAGTCCATGAGGTCACAAGAGTGGAAAACAACTTAGAGACTAACCGATCACCATCACCTTCAGTTACATCCAGTAGAATTCTTCTTTACTCAACTAATAGGAAGTCCCTAGCAGTTACTCTGGACTCTTCTTAAATCAGCCAAGATTCCACTGGAGACAAGTTAAGCCAGGATTGCCGGACTTGGTGTTCAGGTATTTGTATTTTATAAAAGTTCTCCAATAATTTTAATGTGCAGCCAGGGTTGCAAACCACCCACCTAAATTGCAGGGGGGGCAATTTTGGCCTTCCTGATAACTGTTTCACTTTCTTTGCTGGTTCGATAAATAACAAGACTTTTCCATCACTTCTTATTAGCTTCCACTTTGATGAGCACTTACTATGTGTCAGGCACCGTGCCAAGCATTCTTTCGTGAATTATCTCATTTAATTTCCACAGTTACCTGTGAAAGTGTCAGTCACTCTGTCATGTCTGACTCTTTATGACCCCATGGACTGTAGCCCACCATGCTCCTCTGTCCATGGAATTCTCCAGGCAAGAACATTGGAGTGGGTTGCCATTCCCTTCTCCAAGGGAATCTTCCAGATCCAGGGATTGAACCTGGGTCTCCCACATTGCAGGAAGATTCTTTACCAACCCAGCCACCAGGAAAAACCCCATGAGGTAGGTGCTATTTCTAAGTTACTTGCCCAGTTACTGCCCCATTCCAGAGCCCAAGAACTCACCCACCGCTTTTCTCCTCTAATTCACTCCCAATAAGGAACTCCTGGGAACACCAAAGTCTGTCTGTAGTTATTCCTGGTGTCTCAGACAGTAAAAATCTGCCTGCAGTGCACTAGACCCAGGTTCGATCCCTGGGTTTGGAAAATCCCCTGGTGCAGAGAATGGCAATCCACTCCAATATACTTTCCTGGAGAATTCCACGGACAGAGAAGCCATGCTGTCTACAGTCCATGGGGTCACACAGTCAGACACGACTGAGTGACTAAGGTTTTCACTTTCAGTTATAAATAAACATTATCTGCAAACACCAACCAAGGAGAAGTAGCAAAATTACAGAAGAACAAGGATGGCCAGCCCCTGCAGGCAGAAGCCACATCGCAGGGCTGACAGGGAGAGTCTGGAGATTCAAGATCTCATTCCCAGGTCTCCCAATCACCACCCTCTTCCCCACCCCCAAGCCTTTAGCCGTCCCTGCTTATCCCCACTTTTCAGACTCACTGGTCGTTGGCCAATCTCAGGGCTGGAATAACCTTTAAATAGAAGGGAGGAAACCCAATCTGGGAATTTCCCAAATTAGTTCGGTCATTATTGAAGACGCAGAAAAGCCTCTAGCCTTCTAGTACAACAGCCAAAGGACCCTACCTTATGGGAGCAAATGCCCGGGGAATGCCCAACTGGCTTCCTCCATTGAGGTGGCGCTAGTGGCAAAGCTTCCCTGGTGGCTCAGGCTGTAAAGAGTCTGTGGGAGACAGGGGTTCGATCCCTGTGTCAGGAAGATCCCCTGGAGGAGGAAATGGCAACCCCTCTCCAGTATTCTTCCCTGGAAAATCCCATGGACAGAGGAGCCTGGTGGGCTACAGTCCATAGGGTCGCAAAGAGTTGGACAGAGCTGAGCGACTTCACTTCACTAGTGGTAAAGAACCCGCCTGCCAACGCAGGAAACAGGAGAAGCGGGTTCGATCCCTGGGTTGGGAAGATCCCTTGGGGGAGGGCACGGTAACCCATTCTAGAATTCTTGCCTGGAGAATCCCATGGACAGAGGAGCCTGGCGGGCTACAGTCGACAGGGTCGCAAAGAGTCAGCTCAGTTCAGTTCAGTTCAGTCGCTCAGTCGTGTCCGATTCTTTGCGACCCCATGAACCGCAGCACCCAGGCCTCCCTGTTAATTAAGCACACAGGCCCACACCGGGATCCTTAGGTGGGAGAGCCCGCGCCAGCAGCAAATCTCCAGAGGTAGGAGGCGTGGCTGGAGGCTCCTACACTTCTCCCCGGAGGGTGGGGTAAGGGCAGGCTGCGCCGACTGCTCTAGCAGCCCTTTTGCGTCGGGGGTCAAGTGGGCGAGGGTTGTCTCGTGCCTTGCCTTTAAGCAAGGGTGCGACAGCAGTTTCAGTCGTCTGGGGAGAAGAGCTGGTCCGACCCACGTGCACCAGCCCGATTTAAATGAAGGCATGGAGGCGGGGATCCAGGCTCCGGCTTGGGGCGAGTGGCTGCTGGAGCACCTCAGCGCCCGAGCTCCGGGGGACAGGAGTGCTTTCCCGGGAGGGTTCCCGAGGCTCCGGGTTGCCATAGCAACCCCACGCACCCGACGGGGATGGCGCGGGCCGCCGGGGCTTCGCTACTACCGGAAGTGACGTGTTTCACCTGCCGAGCGAGGGCGGGGTGGGACCGGGCAGCGAGGTGCGGCCGCCGCCAGCCAGTCGGGAGCGCGCGCGGAGCTGGGAGACTGAGACCCCGGGGTGAGAGCCGCCTACCTGCCGTCGTCTCCCACGGCCGGGCCGCCACCATGGCGCTTCTGCTGCGCTTCGCGCTCCTGTGCGGAGTGGCGGGTGAGTCGGGGCGGGGGGGCGCGGTTCGGTCCCTCGGGTCCCCCTCGCCTGGCCAGCCCTCGGGCGCTCGCTGCCTGCGGCCACCCGGGAACAATGAGGCGTGGGGGAGGGGGCGATTTGGGGGCGCCGCGGCCGGCGGTGGCGGTGCGCGCCGAATTGCGCCGGGGTGGTTTTGCAGGACCCGACGCGCGAGCCGCGTAGGTGGGGTCGCTGGAAGGGGAGCCAGGCGGGGACGTGGGGTGCCCGGTGGGGGGGGGGGGCAGGCGGGCAATGGAGTGGGGAGAGGACCGAGCCCGGGAAGAGGGGGCGGCGGCGGTGGAGGGGCGCCCGGGGCGCGGGCGAGTGGGCGCGGCGTTCTGGGTGCGCCTGGCGCTTCTCCCGGACTATTCTTTGCTGCCGGTGCAGGCTTTGCTTTATTTGCTCTCGCCCTTTCCCTTGTTGGCTGTTGGGCCGTGTCCGTCCAGGGTTACTCGATTTCAAAAGCCTTGGCCATCAGCGGGTTTTTTCAGGTGCCGAGCTGCCCCAGCCAGGAGACCGAATTACAAACGCCATGATTAAATGTACAGAGAGCTGCTCAGCGCCTCTGATCGTCCGGGCTACCTCTAGGAAAGAGGCGCAGAGCGATCTGTAGGCTGAGCATTCTCGGTCTCTGGGAAAAGGCGAGCTCGAGCTGTACTAGACGGTAACTCGGCGAAGTAAACCGTGGAAAATCGGAAGTAGGTTCCGGAAAAAAAAAATGCAGTATTGATTTCGGCAGTCGCCGGGCCGAGTGCAAAGGAGAAATTAGTAACCTTGAGTTTATAATGTTTTGATTCATGTTGATGATAAGATAGGATGACTTGTACGGGGTAGTTCCGAAAGGATCCGCCAAGTGCATGTTCGACTGAGTCTTTGTCAAGGGAGGGGGAAAGGGCTTTTAAAATAATGTGGACAAAAGACGTGGTCATTTGATAGTTTTTAAAAAATGGATTTGTTTCCATGTCCGTGCTTTAGCCTACTGATCTTGTTATGTCAAAGTAAGCGCTTGTCTCGTTGTAGAACCAAAAGATTTCAGTAAACCACCCACAACAAAACATCCATCGGTGGGACCCTAGGACAGACACTTTGTGTAGCCCCGGAAGGATAATTTTAAAGCGCTCTGAAGCTGGACGGAGTGGCCCGTTGTATTGGGATGGCTCTCTGCTTCCTGTTGAAACGTTAATTCCATTGTTGGATGCCACAGCTGTGAGCATTACTCATGGGATCAACATTCTATTAACAAGTCTAATTTTCGATCTGAGTCTATATAGCATTACCTCCACATTTTTAATGCTTGTCATTTCGACATGGCTGAAATATCCAAAGTAAAGCTTCCGGAAAAGATGAAAGATCAGTAAAACCATTTTAGGTGATAGGTTTTTCACCTTGTTTTGGTCTAGGACTAAACCGAAGAAGTTGAGAACATTGTGATCTCTGTGGAAAAAAAGGAGAAAAATGTTTTAGGCTACATCTAAAGCAGAGAAGTGGAGGAATATAAACTTTATAGAGGATTCTCCATCCCCTCCCCCCAACCCCCATATGAGGATAATTTCATTTCTTCTGGATGCCTCACTTTGGTAGGCACAATCTAAACCCAGGATATTTTGATAGGTATAGAGTCCTGCTGCTTGTAAACTGCACACAGTAGTGTACATCTCTTTAAAGGACTATTGTCTTCAACTAAACTAGTTTTACTTCAGTTTTCCTGCTTAAGCAAGAACTCAAAAACTGTAATTGATTTATGGCTTTGAGTATTTCTTCAGATACTTCTTGACACTTGAGAAGTTGATTGCCATGAACTCAGTTTGAGTGGTGACACAATTGGAATCTGTTTGACAGTTGGCAACGTAAGGTGGAGGCTGACATTAAAAACGAGCCATGAGTAGATCTTCCTCTCGAGCTGTCTCTATGTGGGTTGCAGAGTTTTGTGGTGTACTCTAGTTGCTGGTGGAACACTTTTCATTGCCTTCCGAGTAGCAAGCCGTTCCACTAGTAGTTAGTTGCAGTAGTAATAGAGTAGTAGCAGTAATAGTAAAAAGGCTTGATTTTGCAGTTATTAAATGCCAGGCACTGTTGCAAAGGCTTTACATACGCTTATCCAATGTACCTTGCAGCCCTGGAGGATGTGTATTGTAATGATCCCAGCTGCACAAGTGGAGAAACTGAGGCACAATGTGGTTGCATAACTTTACTTGCCAAGATCATAAATTTCCTCCTGAATCCCTGCTTTTATCACTGGGTTATCACTTTCCTCTTGGATTACCTCTGATCGACACCCTAAATTAATGTCACTGATTATCTGTCACTTACTAAGAACTTGCTGTTGGTTTGACCACATGCCAGGTACTGAAGGCTTTTATTAGTAGCCTTTTATTAATAATTTCATAATCTCAGTCAAATATTTTTGGACGCTCTAAGAACATGAGGATCCAGGGCTTGAACTGGTGTTGTAAGCTTATATGGCGCATGACCCAGCAGCACTGTTGTCACCTCTGGATGGCAGTGTGAAAAATTTGAGATGCTGCTGCTTTTCACAGTATCAGTCTGAGTGAGAGTAAAGTCCTGGCCAATGATTCTGGTCTCCAGACTACTTGTTAGCCATTCGGTGACAGCAGGACCCTGTTCTCTGTGAGGCTCAGTTGGTTTATGTGTCAGGAATACTTATTGCTTTGCTTTACCAGGGGTATTTTCCTTTACTTAATAGAATAAATGAAGATTATTAGATGTGAACTTTATCCCCTCCGTATGCCTGTCTCTTAAGTACATTCCTGTATTTATGCCACCACCAAAAGTCCCCATTAGACCAGGGCAAAAGTTGCTTTTCCTCCAAGGCAAGCCACTCAGCATTGGCTCCTTACCCTATCTGTTGTGGGGTTTCCATAAAAGTACCCAATATATCTCACTGCACTGGGTCATGGGCCTTATCTGTGTTGCTGTTCACTGTTACAGTCCCAGTGTTAGTTTGTGGTGCCTGGCAGATGGCAAGTATTCAGCAAATGTTGACCAACCAGACGCTTTCAGCCTCTTTGCCACTAGGCTTAAGGATATGGTACAGCTGTCATCAGTTACATCTCTTATTCTCTCCTGGTCTCACCCCCCTACTCAATTGTCAAAGGTATCAGTAATCAAGTGCCAAATCCATCCATTTCTTTGGAGCTCCATGACACCTGTTTTGGTTCCTTTCCACTGTGTTCCCCTGCCCTTCTCTGCCTTCTTCACTACGTCCCTTAAATGTCAGCCTCCCCCATGATTTGGCCTATAGCCATCTTCTCCATCTGAAACCTGGATGACTTCATCTGTCCATCACTGCATTCTCAAAATAGTCACTAGGGACATCAAAATGTTGCCAGCTCACCTCTCTTTTGATTTCTGGGCCACTGTTTCCAACTGCCTTCAACATTCAGCCTTCCACTTTGCATGCGCTTGAGTACCTGAGACTCTGCAGGTCCTCAGCTGAACTTAGCATTAATTAACTGATTAAATGGTCCAGTCATTAAAATATTTATGGCCTGCTGCATACTGTGGTTGTGTCAGATGCCCCGACAATTGTATAGGATTTTGCAAGATGCGCAAGGTTTGATGGAGCATTCCCAGCAGATAGAAATCTGGAGGAAACCTAACTTGCCTTGGGAGCTGAGATGTCCAGGGCATACAAGGCATCTAACTAGCCCTTCTTTTGATGTTCAGCTGAGTCAGAGGGACGTGGGGTGGAGCTTGAGGTTTTGAATGTTAACAGGTTCCACGTAATGTCACTGCTGACTGCACTTTGGGCAGAGGCCTGGAGACTGTGTGGAGAGCTTAGGGGAGGATCGCTGTCTGTCAAATAAAGTGTTGTCTTGCCCCCTGCCGCCCAGGAGTGGCACTAAGAAGCTCGTGGAGGTGTTAAAGAAGAGAGGCTGTACGCTGAGAATGATTCTCTTGAAGGGTGTAGAGCTCCACGATCCATCTGGAGGCAGGGAATAACCACAGCTCCAAGGCAGGAATCCATCTGGGATGACCTGGACATGTGCAGCCCCTGGAAATACAGCAGGAGTGGTGCTGGGCCCCGTCTTTCATCTGAAAAGTTGTTCTGAGGGAGGTGCAGTGTAGCCCAGTATCAGGTTGATTGAATGAGTGGGCAAGAAAAAGCTGGAGGGGAGGAGTAAGGCTTCAGGCTTGAGTGAGTGGTGATGTCACTAGTCTACCGGGAATCAAGAAAAAAGAAGCAGATCTTAGATGACCGAGCTTTGGACCAGTCGTATTTGTGGTGGATGCCTGAGAGGAATGGAGGTGAAAGAAATCCAGTGGGAAGATTCCAACAAAGGACTGGATCTCACGAGAGAGGCAGAGACGGGTGGCACAGAATAGAGAATCACTGCTGATAGTTTAGCATCTTTGTCAGGTTAACAGGAAAAGCAGGTAGGACTCCAAGAGAAGGTGAAACGTGAAGCTGGAGAACATCAACATCTTACTAGATGGCGGGAAGTGAGGAGCTGGGGATGGGAAGGGGTGATGGGAATGCTGGAGAGCTAGAGGATGAGGGGGTCCCAGAAATTGATGAAGAAACGAGACCAGTGGGTCTTATGTTAGGAAATTGTTGAGAACATTTGAGAAGTTATTGATTCCAGAGAGAGGACAGTTCCTATGCTGATAGTAAAGCTAGATTTTAGTACATTGAGGAGGGGACATCAGGTAAGTAGAGAATGTACTTAGAGATGTACTTTGCACTTGTAGTTGGTTTGATAGTGCGTGTTGCTGGTCTTCACTGGCAGTCCAGTGGTTAAGACTCCGTGCTTCTATTGCCGAGTAGTAAGGGTTTGATCCCTGGTTGGGGAGCTAACATCCCGTATGCGTGTGTGTGTGTGCTCTCAGTCATGTCCGACTCTTTGTGACCTCATAGACTGTAACCCGCCAGGCTTCTCTGTCCATGGATATTCTCCAGTGGGTTGCCATTTCCTCCTTCTGGGGATCTTCCCAACCCAGGGATCAAAGCGGCGTCTCCT